GGTGGTCTCTGCACAGGCAAAGCTCCAGCAGCTGGAGGCCCTGCTGAACTCACTGCCCCCACCCCGAAGCCAGGTTAGCACCCAGGTGGAAACCCCCATCCTACAACCCTTCCAGGTAGCCCAGGCCTCTGGAAACCCACTGGGTTCAGATCTCTGGGCCTCTTCCTCCTCCAGGCTGGGCAGGCACCATAGCACATGGGCCAAGATCAGCCCTTGACAAGGTCCACTTTGTCTGTCTGAGCCTCAGTTTCCCCATCCCTCCTTGGGTGCTCCCTGAGCACCCCCTTCCTTCTTTGGCAGAAGGAGGCCCATGTTGCTGCCCGTGTCTGGAGGGAATTTGAGAAGAAGCAGTTGGTGAGTCATGCCTCTTGAATCCTACAGCCTGTCCTTTGCACCCCCCTACACACACACACACACACACACACACACACACACTCCCAGGAGGCTGGGACACTTGTGCCTGCCCAGTTTCAAGGAAAGAAAACTGAGGCTCAGAGAGGAAAATGCAAAAGTTCAAGCAGCTTGAGAGCCATACGCCAGACTGCCACAAGGACTTACCTGGATCTTGCCCTGCTCAGGACCCCAGCTTCCTGGACAAGCAGGCTCGCTGCCACTACCTGAAGGGCAAACTGAGGCACCTCAAGACTCAGATCCGGAAATTCGATGACCAGGGAGACAGCGAGGGCTCTGTGTACTTCTGAGCGTCCTGGCAAACAGGCAGAGAGAAACATTGGAGTCGGGGTGCCACCCTGCCCTTGCTTCTCTTCCTACCTCCTGGCCTTGCTATTGCCTCGCCTGGGGTAGCCGTCCCTGATTTCAGATGCCTTCGCCCTTGAGGCTGAGATCTGATGGTCCCTCCTCCAGGAAGGCTTCTCAGGACCTACTCCAGGACCCCCATGGAGATCCCAGATCTCAGCCCATCCCCTGGAAGAGGTCCTGCTCTTCATCCCAGTGGAATAAACACTTACTAAATACCGACTGTGGACAGCTGCTTGAAACTCCTGATTTCACTCGTTGTCACCAAAAAATTGTTCTTCCATTTTCCAGAGGAAAAAAATTAAGGTTCTGAGAAAGGGACTTGTCCAGGATCTCTGGGTGAGCTGTGAACCCTAGTCTGTCTGGGGGCACTCCCTCTCCTCTAAGAGCCTTCAAGTGGGAAGCAGAGGGGCTGACATCTAGCATCACCTCCTTGGCCAGGAGGGTCCCCTGATGTCCACTGCATGCCAGGCCCTGGGTAGGGTGGATGGGACACAGGTAGCACCAGGCTCTGTGTGGGGCCCTGTGATGGTGGCCCAGCAGCTACTTTGAGTCTTGGCCTCCCAGGGGAGTCACAGGGAAAAGGGACAGTCAGGAAGACTGTGGGCAGGGAAGGCAGTGCCAGCCACTGGGTCACAGAGAGGCCTCAGTCCCAGGACTGATCCTCAAGGAACCCACGTCCTCAGGGAAGAGAGCCCAGTGTGACAGAGCAATGACAGAGGGCTGGACCCAGACAGCAGAGTCCTAACAACCAGGGAGGCTCAAGATGTCTTCCTGCCGAAGAGGCCATATGGGTAGGGTTTTGTAGGAGAAGTAGGAGTTCAGCAGACAGGCCTGGACAGGCATCCAAGTCTCTGGCCGACTGGAAGCAGGACAAATATCATGGTCTTGGTCAGTCCACAGATGTTCTGTGAATCTGAGAAATGGGGCATTGCTGTCCATCCCAACTGGAATGGACAGACATTCACTTACGCACAGTACAGCTCAGAAAACACCCACCGATTAGAAACCAGCCCAGCCACCAATGGGAGAGCCCAGTAGCCTCTCCATCCCATTCCCACCTCAGTCCCCTTCTGGGAACAGGGCATACCCAAGAGACCCTCGTTCTTTCCTCCCCACCTTCCCAGACCTCCTCCAAGACAGACATGGGGGAGCCTGGGATGCCAGTGGAGAGCATTCTGGGGGACTGGGACTGCCTTAGGGCTGAGCACTGGCCTAGCCTGCAGGGTGAGACCGGAGTTCTTTGCTCACTGTGTTTAAACGGGCATCTTTGATAAAGGGCTTGTCTTTGCCTGACAAGACCTGTCAGGATCAACAGGTGCCACCCACCACCACAATCTGGGCCCTTTCTAGCCATCCCCTAGAGCCACAGTCCTGGCAATACATTCCATAGGTGCCTTTCCCACCAAAGAGCTGAGCCACAAACTTCCGAGGACAGGGTGGCAAGCTCCCTGGTGCTGCATCACTCCACATCAACTCAAGTCCACATTTCAAAGTCTGTCCTTGGAGGTCCTCACCTTCCAAGTGCCAATTTCCAAAACAGGAGTTTTTTTAGTTACATGTGAGAAGAAACCAAATTCAAACTGGCTCAGGCACAAAAGGGGAAGTCTGGGCTCATGGAACTTAAAACACCCAAGGGTTTCAGGTATGGCTTGATGCAGGGGAATTGGTCTTTCTCTTTTGGCTCTGCTTTGCTTTAATCATATCCTCCTAATTCCCAACCCTGCCATTGAATCTCATTGGCCAGCTTTGGGCCACGTGCCCTCCCTAAAGCAGTCGCTGTGGCCAGGGAAATGGAGGGTTCTGTCTGGGCTGAGATCATGTGACAAAACTAGCCCCAGATGTTTCTCCCGAGGATACTAGGGCCCAGATGATTAAGGGCCGACCAAAGAAAACAATAAAGGGAATTCCCTGGCAGTCCAGTGGTTAGAACTCGGCACTTTCACTGCCGTGGGTCCGGGGTTCAATACCTGGTCAGGGAACTAAGATCCTGCAAGCCGTGTGGCACGGCCAAGAAAAGAAAAGAAACAAGTGTTTGGTCTAAGGCTTATGTTAATCTATGAGGCTCACCCTCCTAAGCCAGAATCTGAATTCAAACCTGAGCCATCTGCTAAGCTCAATTCTTACAGACTCATTGGCTGACCTCGGGCCCCCCTTCCTGCCCCCAGCTGCAGATTCCCCACAAAACTGTCCAACAGAAACAGCAAGTAGGGCTGTTTTTAGGTTGTGGGTGTTCCAGATGGCTGGGAGTGGGTATCCATGGTAGGGCGCCCTCCGTGCCACCCTCCCCTCACCAAGATGACAGAGGCTGTGCAGGTAGGAAACTTCTTTATTATTGGCCTTGATTCATCCATCATGTAGTGTCCAACGGGGATTACGTGTCCAGAGGATCCGCCTGGTACACGCTACCCCTGCCCGGGTGCAGCTGCCCCTCCAGTCCAGATGCCAGGACTTTGTCCATCACACCAGAGAAGCCACTGCACCATGAGTACATGCTTGGGGCACCAAGGGACACGGCTGTCCTGGGGTTGGACCCTCAGTCTCGCCCCTCATCTTGACCAGGGCTTCTGGGGAAGACTTGGCTGGAGCCTAGACAGTCTCTTTTTGGTTTCATGATCACTTAGAAAACAAAAAACACAAACATTTCACAGTCTTTAAAAAACAGGAGTCTGAGGAGGGAAGCCGGGGTCCTCTGCCTGGGGGCCCCCACTGGAGGCTTGAGCATATGTGTCCGTGGAGGTCTGCAGACCCGGCCCTGTCCAGTCACTGGCCCGAGCCGTAGGGCCAGTTGAAGGTACTTCCCGACAGCAGCATGTCTCGGATCAGCGTCTCGATGGGTGTCTTGCCCACCAGGCGCATGAAGAACAGCTGGGAGATGAGGGAGGCGGGGACGGCACGCAAGGCAGGGAGCCGCAGCAGCAGGCGCCCAAAGCGCTGGGGCTGCGATGGGTACTGGGCCCGCACATACTCGGTGAGGGCCACCTGGGCCTTCTCCTGCAGGCTCTCCACATGCGCTGGGTCTGAGAGGCCACAGGCATCTGGGAGACAAGGGAAAGGTCAGAAGAGGAGGCGGCGGGAGGACACAGGACCCCAGGGCTGACGGGGGAGCGGGGGCACCACTCAGGGCTGTTGATACAGAAGGAGGGCACTCAGGAGGTGGGAGATGGGGGCCTAGGGCACAGATGGCAGTGTTGGTCCTCAAGAAATATTAAGGTGGCTTCATCCAAGGACGATGACACACGGGTGCAGGCAGTAATGTCTCAAGGGTGGAGGGCCCCTGACTAAAGCATTTAGCAGGGAGACAAGTTCTAATCAAGCTCAAGGGGAAGAAGAGGCTGGGGACGGGACTTGGGGAGGAAAGCAAAGCCTAGAGGGGGTATTCAGACACCCCAGAGGGACCTGCGATGTGAGTGAAGATGACAGCCCCATGAATGGGGGCAGAGAAAGTCTGGGGAAATAAGGAGGGGCAAACCATATTTACTGGATGAAAGCCACCTCCCGGAGTAGCCTGTGTCTGGTTCCCGCATCCCTGGCCCCAAGGAGACACCTAGTGGGGCCTCCTTCCAGAGTGCAGAGCCAGCTGCACCACTCCCTGGTATAAAGCAGGGCTTTGGCTGCTGGACGGTTACCAAAGACACGTAAGGAAGCACACGGCTCCGCTCGGAGTCCCGCCCCTCGATGGGAGGGGCTCCAAGCCACACCCTCTACCCTCTCCAGCTCAGCGAGGGTTGGCCCCTGGAGGCGGGTCAGGGGGCAGCTTGGGAGCCCTGGGTCAGAGGTCTAGGGGCCCAGGAATCTGGGAGTGGAGAGCCCAGGGGAACCCAGAACCAGGTGTCAGGGCACCCCTGCCTGGGAGCTCTCCATAAGTGGTCAGTAACAAGAAGAAAACCCTGATTTGGCAGATGAGGGTCAGAGGATTTGGGGAGGACAACAGAGATGAGGGAATGAGGGCCAGAACCAGGTGGGGGGGATCTCTCCTCCCGCGTCCCCGCACCTGTCATTCTGCTGTCAGGGCCCACTGAGCACGATGAGTACCCTGATGAGGGGGTGAAGGATGGGGGGGTCTCAGGGAGCCTGGGAATCAGGGAGAGAGGCTGTGGGGCCGTGAGTCACGGGTCCGAACAGGGATCGAAGTTCTTAGGGAGACCTGGGATCGGGGGTGGGGCCATCAGGGTGTCACACCGCCTGCATCACCTCCCCCACTGTCCCCCATCAACGCTCAAGGCGCTTTCAGGGACACAAGTCTGGCTAGCTGTGGATCAGGGAGTGGAGGGCTAAGGCGGCCGGGGCCAGGGTCAGGATCTAGGTCGCACCCCTCCCTCCCAGCCCCCTCCCACGGCCTCAGAGCCCCCCATTTCAGGTCATCTCACCAGGCGTGAAGAGCGCGATGGCCTTGAGGCAGCCGTACTCCGCCGAGTCGACCTGCAGGCGGCCCAGCTTGTCCACCTGCTCCTGGAAGGCGCGCACTTGGTCCATGAAGGCCACGGCGCGCTCGGCGGCCATGGGTGCGGCGTGCAGGCCGGCGGCGGCCAGCAGCGGCGCCGTATGCAGGGGCAGCGCCGCCTGCGCCGCGTTCAGCACGAAGAGCTCGCTCCAGCTGAGGCGCAGCAGCGCCACCTGGTCAGCCACCGGCAGCTCGGGGAAGAAGGGCGCGTGGCGCGCCCACTCCACGGTGCTGAAGAGCAGCCGCGCAGCCAGCTCGCACACGTTGTCGATGCCCAGCACCGCGCCCGCTGCGCCGCCCCCTGCGCCGAACGCGCCCGCTGCACCCGCGCCGAAGCGCCCAGCCGCCGCAGGGTAGGGCTCGGCGCGCAGCAGCTGCGCGATCAGCTCCGACACCGGCTGCCCCGGGAAGAGGTCTCCGCCAGCCGCCGCCAGCGCAGAGCCCGTGGGGCTGCCCGAAGACGCTGCCACGGCGCCAGGCAGCGAGTGCGGAATGCGGCCGCGCTGCACCGCTGCGAGGGGGAGATGGAGATGGGGGGGGGAGGGGAGATAGCCAGCCCCGCAGGAAATGAGGGAGGGACAGGAGAGGGAGGAGGGGAGAAGGGAGGGGTGGAATCAGGAGATGGGAGAGAGGGAGTGACGAAAATGGGATAGGAAGGGGATTGAGGAACACGGGAAACCAGAGAGGGGTGAGTGGGGTGTGAGGAAAAGGGAGTGGGGAGGGAAGGAAGGAGGGGGAAGGTGGGTACCCGGAGAGAGTGGGCGGGGGCCAAGTAGGGAGGAATAAAGGAAGGAGATAAAGTTATCAAAGGGTCACTCAGCCGCCTCCCCTCCAAGCCCCCCAGCTCAGCCCTTCCCTGGACCCCCAGTCCCCACCTCATGGGCACAAAGCTTGTTGGGATGACAGAGGCCAAGGTCTTGCATGCCCCACCCTGCTCTGCCCTGTGCCCTCAGCCTGAGTCCATGTCCAGCCACCATCCAACTTCTTCCTTCAGAGAAGGGCCATGACCCTGGGACGGGGTGGGGGAAACTCCCCAGGTGGGAATGGGGCCACTGGGTGAGGGCTAATTTAATTCGCACCTGGCCCCTCCTACTGGACTGTGTGAGCTCTCCTCAGCAGCCAGGGAGACTAAACCTGTCAATCATGTCCTCATCTGTCAATCATAGGAGTCCAAGACCTGAGAATGGGTCCAGGGGGCCATCACCTTCCTTCCTAGGACTTGGGGCACATGGCCAGCCTACCCCTAAAACAAGTGATCAGTATGGGCTGAGCACTGATCTCTCCTATGGAGGTGGGATATTTCCCTACCTCCCAGCCCCACCCTCCAGGTCATGGCCCCCTAGAGCAGGTCTCATCTCTCTGGATCTCTGCAGTGACCTCAGTGCTAAGAGTGGAGTCCTGGCCAGTAGCAAGCGCTCAGTAAACATTTGATTCCATCAGTAGCCTTGCCTATGAGGGGGGAGGACCAATTGCTGGCCTTGGCCAGTGCCCCCAGTGATCGGGTTGGTGAGAAGAGGAAAGCTGAGGTGCAAAGAGGGGAGAGGTGGCTGCATGCCAGCCTGGCCTGTGCCACAGTGGGAGGGGCGGAGGGGCTGACTGGGCTGGGTGCCAGGCAGAGACTAATTAATGAGTTTTAATGAGGTGGAATGCCCTATCTCACCACCTCCATGAACTTCTGGTCAACCCACCATGAAGCAGATGGGGAGGGGGATGCAAGTGGGAGCCAGGGGCTAGCAGAGCTGATCAGGGAAACAGAGGCTTGGATTCAAGCCTTGCTCCATGTGATTTCGAAGTCTCAGAATCATCTGTCAAATGGGTGTAGCCAGATGAGGCCCGAGAGAGAGTGAATCCCAGTCAATCCCGGGCCCACTTGGTTTTAAACCCCACCCCCACCATTCTTCCATCATCCAGCCACGTTTCCACCTTAGGGCCTTTTGCACCTGCTGTTCCGCTTTCTGGGAACCCCTTCCCCAGCTCTTCCTCCTCATTCAGCCAGGACTGTGGGTTCAAATCCCAACCACAGTTCTATTGCTCTCTGTGCTGTCTTCCCATTTATAAAAAATGCAGTTTATAATAAAAATGGTGATGATGATGAGAACAATCACTGAATTTACATGAGAATGTATCTAACTTGCTTAGAATAGCATTTGGCACTTAGTAAGAGCTAAAGGGATAGTAACTCAAGCCAAGAAACATTTATTAAGCACCTTATGGGTTTCGGGGCTGGTCTAGGCACTGGGGATATATCAAAAACCAAGACAGGCAAAAGTCTCTGACCTTGAGGAGCAGAACATCCTAATAGAGGAGCAAGTAAATTATAAAGCAAGATAGATGGCCCGAAATAAAGAGGGGGCTGTGGCGAAGGGTAATCAGGAGGGCTTCTCTGAGGAGGTGTTGTTTGAGCAAATCTTAAAGGAGGCAAGGGAGGAAGCCATGCAGGTGACTGGGGCAAGCGTTCCAGGCCGAGGGAACAACCTGTGCAAAGGCCCTGAGATAGGGCTGTGCTTGGGGCATGACCTGAGATTATTATTTCCACCCCGAGACTCTGGAGATCTGAAGCCCTGATAAGATGTACATCAGGAGTTTAGGTCAGATCAACAAGTGGAGGTAAAATCCAGGTTGGCAGGGGTGGGGGGCGGGCGCGGAGAGACAGTCACCCCCACACTTAAAATGACCAAAGGGAGTGACGAGACGGTCTTAAGAGAAAGAGTCTGAGCAGCTGTCCCAGCTTCTCCCACAGAGGCCCAGCAGAGGAGAAACCATCTTTAGAGCAGGAGAGACTCAGGTTAGATGCAGGGAAGAACTGCTGGCCTGGCTCATGAGAGTCCAGGCAGAGACATGAAGCCCAGCACAGGGGCCATCACTGAAATGGGCCAGATTCTGCTCCCAAGCCCAGACATCCATGTACAAGTCTCTGGGTTCCACTTGAATTCTAAGAGTGCTTGGTGGAGTTCTAGACCCAGCTGCCCCGCATGTATCCACCCAAGTCCCCAGGGCAAGGACAAGAGGCTGGGCCTCCCTCTGGCTCCCAGTGCCCCGGTCAGGTGGAAAGGTAAGCTGCCCTTGGCCTTAGTCAGGTGAGTTCCTGCCTTGGGCAAACACAAGGCAGGGGGTGGAGGGTGGAGGGTGGAGGGAAAGCAAATCAAATAAAAAAAATACATCCTTGTTCAGAAAGTGGTAGCCTGGCTAGAGGGCAGGGGGGTCACCAGGGTATCAGGGCCAGGGAACCTGCCTCTAAGGCCGGGGTGGGGCCTGGGGAGGAACTGGGGAGGGTGGGGGAAGAACAATTCTAAAATGGGCCGGAGTCAGGGAGTCCCTTGCATCCCAGTTCTGCAGCAGCCACCAGACAGCCACGGATAATTGGATTCCTCCAGCCCAGGGCCAAACCCAGGCCCACGGGATCTCAGGATCATTGGTGGTAACGAGGTTAGCAGGCACCAGACCCCGCCCTCCATAGCTCCCAGACCCCAAAAGAAGGAGCAAAGGGCAGGCCGTTTGTTCATCCCCTGCCTGCACCACCCCAGCAGGTACTCACCCTCCTTCCTCATGCCCACCCGGAAACACTTCTTGAGGCGGCAGTACTGGCACTGGTTCCGGTGATGCTGGTCAATCTGGCAGTCACGGTTGGACCTGTGGGCATCAGAGGTCACCATGGGGGTTACCGTGACACCCACATCCTGCCCCTGGAGCCACCTTGTGAGACGCCTTTGAAGGCTGCCCCTGAGAACCACCAGCGCCCCCCCCCCCAACCTCGGCTGGGCAATGGCCCCAAAGTGGCACAGAGGCTGGGCCTGCAAAGAGGAAAGGACAATTCGGGTGAGTGCCACAGATGAAGAGCAGTCTGTGGCAAAGCAGATTAGCACACCGGAGTGGATATGTTGGAACTGGGTTTTTGTTTTTTTGTTGTTTTTTTTGTTTTTTGCAATACGCGGGCCTCTCACTGTTGTGCCCTCTCCCGTTGCGGAGCACAGGCTCCGGACGCGCAGGCTCAGCAGCCATGGCTCACGGGCCCAGCCGCTCCGCGGCATGTGGGATTTTCCCGGACCGGGGCACGAACCCGTGTCCCCTGCATTGGCAGGCAGACTCTCAACCACTGCGCTACCAGGGAAGCCCTGGAACTGGGTTTTGAAGGATGATCAGAAGTTCCCCAGGGAAACAGAGGCAGTTCCAGGCAGAGTGGGCAACAAGTGCAAAAGGCTGGAAATGCCAAAATATGAAGGCCTAAACAGTTTCACTTTACTTAGTCACTGTCAGGCCAAGGGTCAGGTTCTTTGTCCCAAAGGCAGTGTGAGAGCAGAGAAGGAACATGGTCAGGAAGCAAGGCTTTGTGAGTTGACTAAGAGACTAGGAGCCAGGCCAGTCGTCTACGGGGTCACAGGACTGTGGAGACCCAGCATTACTGCCCTACACAAGGCCACCACGAACAAACGATGAACGAACGAACGAACGAATGAGTGAATGAACAAATGAACTCCTGTACCCCTTTAAGATCCCAAACCCCTTCTCTGGAAAGAACGTCCAATTCCTAACTGAGTCCAAGAAGCTTCCTCTGGGTGGCCCTCAGGGATTGTTGTTGCCTCTTCCAGGGATGGGACAGGTGGCTCCGCCCTGTGAGGCAATGAGTTCCCATCCAGGGTCAGTCCCTAGCAGGAAGGTTCAGGCCTTTGTTCTTCAAATGTCCCCATCATCTTTTCCCCCTGGCCCCTGCCCCTGTGCTCCGTCCCTATCTCTCTCCACCCTGGGCTCAGGGCCTTTTAAGGCCCAGGCTTGGGGCAGACACCCTGGAGTCCCAGCTGGGCACCAAGAGAGTACCTAGAGACAGTCAGTCACAAAGTAAAACAAACACTTAATGAAGTTAAAAATCAAACACATCTCAACTGCAGACACCCAGCCCTGATCTTTGGGCTGTGACTTCTCCACTGAGCCTTGGTTTCCTCATCTGAAAATGGGAGGCCAGAGGCCAATTCTATATGGGATGCACTCATTCTGGAGAAATTGGGGGCATGGGGGGAGGGCGTCAAGACCCAAGCCCCAGCTGTGAGTCCCAATGGCAGATTTAGGAGAGCTGAGGCTCTGCAAGGCCTCTGTGTCCTGCAGCGCCAGCCTGAGCCCAGGCCTCTGTGTCCCACCAGCCTGAGCCCCCAGGAAGAGGCCTTACTAGGGCAAAGGGAGCTCAGGCAGAACCAGAACAAAGCCCAGCAGGCATGCAGTGGGAGGGTCCTGGGCAGCCGTGTGGAAACAGCCAGGCTTGGGGCAGGCAGGCAGGCAGGCAGGAGCCTGGCTCAGGGCCCTCAGACCTCAGGGGAGGCCCTGAGCCTTCTGCCTCAACTTCCCCAGTTGTAGAGTCAGGACAGATCTTCTGTCCCTCCAGATGAGGAAACAGTAAGTTCTACCTGTTATCCCACCTAAAGAGCACATGCTTTGCCAAACCCCACAGTCCAATTCAACCTCCTCCCTGGGCTCTCTGGCTTCCAGTCCAATTTGATCATAGCCCTCTCTTGCTCACACACCCTTCATGGCTCCCCACTGCCCTCAGTCCAGCATTTCAGACCCACTCACCTCTAACTTCTCCTATGCCTGGGTGGTCTCATCTTACATCACTGCTCCCCAAACCTGCCACTGAGTGTTTGCTGTAGCTACACTCTCTGCAGGAGTGCCCTTTGCTTCTATCTGCTAAACCCCTCATGCTTCAAGGCCCACCTCCGATGGCCTTCTTCTCTGACCCTTAGGCAGAGCCCCTTGTTCCGTCCTGGGACCCCAGACCATCCCTCCCTCTGGCCCAACCCACACCGCACAGGCTGGGGACACCTGTGTCTCCCCCAAACTGGGAGAGGGCTGGGCTTGCAGTTAGGGTCTTTTCTAGGGGGCCAGCATCAAATCACCCAGGCCAGGCCCTGAGGGGACTTGGCTCAATCAATCTGAGGCTCAGAGAGAAGCAGTGACTTCACCAGGTCACACAGCAGAGACCTCCTGAAGAACCTGCCAGCCCCAAACCATGGCCCCTCTCCCCGACCTTGGTGCTCCCTGCTCCCACTCTCAGGGAGCCTCTGGGACCCCAAAACTACCTGAGCCCCTCCTCTGCCCTCCCTAAAGACCTGGCCAGAGAGCAGGCAGTTATTCCAGCAGCAAAAATGAGGCCAAAGTCTGGTGGCCCAGTTAGCACTGGAGGAGAGAGTTAAGCCAGCTCCCCCACACACACAGCCACCCCAGACAGGCTGGACCTGGGGCCAAATTCCTGCTTCAGGTGCCCGGGGCTCCGCCCAGTGGCCTTGCCAACAAGCCCTCCACGAGCAGCTCTCGCTGGGGACACCCTGACCCAGACTCAGCTGCCCCTCTCTTCCCAACCCCACAGTTCCCCTTGCTAAGCCCCAACTGGAGCAGGGTCTCTCTTGGCAGGCACCAAGAGCGTTCTGGGCCTCGGTTTTGCCCATCTGGAAAATGGGACTCTCCAAACTGGCTCTACAGAGCCCAAGCATGTTCCTGGAGGATGCAGAGTAGGGGCTTGTCAATGCAGCAAAAGGAGGCTCACCAAAGAGTGGTGGGAAAAGGAGCCCTGGCCTGGACACTCAATGCCAGCGGCTTCTCCCCCCAGACCTAATGCCCCAGAACTAAGGAGAGAAGCTAGCACGGCCACACCCTGTCAGTGGGGACTCCAACCTAGGACAGTCCAGGGCTTCTTCTTGGAAACATTCACGCCCACCCTGTCTCAGAGCGGACCAAAGTTTCAGGGATTTTCCAGGAGCCCAGCTCTGCACCAACTCCTGGCTGGGGGTGGGGGGGTGGAGCGAGCAGCCAAGATGCGGTCAAATCCCGCCACCCACCCGGACCTCGAGCAGGAGCTTCCGGTGACCCAAAGCCCAGGGTGAGCCGGGGCTGGGGTGAGGAGGGGCGGGGGTTCCCCCGGTGTGCAGGCCTAACCCCACAGCAGGGGCCCCCACGCGAAGAAGGCTGCCCTGTGCCACCCCAGTTTCGCTCCCGCCGCAGCCTCGGTGGTCAGAGCGACTTTGGAAGTGATATTTGACCCCAAGGGCGCGCCGTATCGATCCGCGCGGCCGCAGACAATGGCCCCCGGACACTGTGAGCCCCACAGTCCAAGTTCCACGTTTGATTCCCGCGGGGTACCCCACGCGCCGAGATTCCCAAGAGAAGGGACGCCCTGGGGTCAGGGACCCACCCCTGACAGCACCACAACCCCTCCCCGCGCGGAGCTGACCCCTGTCCGGAGAAAAGGAAGGGAGGAAGGGGGAGCAAGTAACTAGGGCGGATGCCGCAAGGGACCACCTGAAGGGGAGACCTGTATCGATACAGCGCCGACAGTATACACAATCCCAGGAATGTAATGGAGAGGGGGAAAAGGATCTGTGCCCCTATCTCAGACGGGAAGTGGAGACCCAGGGAAGGTCAGCGCCAGGCCCAAGGTGACCGAGCAGGTCAGAGGCCCGGCCCACAGCGGGGCCGGGTGCCCGGCGGCGGTGCGCTGATAGGGGGCTCACCGGCAGGTGTAGCTTAGGTTGCGGCGGATGCTCCGCTTGAAGAAGCTCTTGCAGCCCTCGCAGGTGAAGACGCCGTAGTGCTTGCCGCTCGACTTGTCCCCGCACACCACGCAGTCCACCTGCAGCCCCGGCCGCTCCTCGTCGCCTTGCTCAGCGTCGCTGGCGGCGCCGGGGGGTGAGGCCGAGTCTTCCTCCGCCGCGCGCGGGTAGCCGCCCGCCTTATCCACGCCGTTCGTGTCGCCGCCGCCGCCACCGGAGCCGCCCCAGCCGCCGGTCACCATGGCCATAGCCCCAGGGCAGCGGGGCCGGGGCGCCCCCTCCGCGCTCTTCCCTCGGGGCACCCCTCTCGACCCGGGGGACCCTACCCGGCGCGCATCCGGCCCCGGCGCGCGGGGGGCACCCGGCTGCACCCCCCAAAAAAGTTTTGCAGCAACTTCCTGCGGCCGGTCCGCGCGCCCGGGAGGAACTGGTCGGGCCGGTTCCAGGCCAACTTTCCCACGCGAGCGCGGGGCCAGGCCCGGGGCCGGGGGGGCGCGCTAGAGGTGCTGGCCAGGGGCCCCGGGGACTCGCGCCTCGCCGCCCTGGGGCCCCGGCGGGGGAGCTCGGGCCATGGCCCGGCCCAGGCTGCGCAGGGGGAGCCCTCTGGCCTGGCCGCCGCTCGGCCGAGGGCTGCGGCCAACTTAGCGGGCTGCCATCCGAGTGCGGGAGGCCGGGGGGAAAGTTTGGCCGCAAGTTGCTCGGCCGCCCGCGGCGGGGGGGAGGGGCGGCGGGCGCGCGCCG